TTTGTAACTTGGGGACTGGCTGTTCTCTAAGGGCAGCAGATCCCCTCTGATCCTGGAAACTGAGCAGAGGCAGACCAGGTTGGGACTTGAACGAAGGACTTCAGGATCACTGAATCCAAGATTGGAAGGGACATAAAGGGCTATCCAGTCCAACCCCCCACCCCCCGCCTTCATGCAGGAAAAGGACAAACAAAGCTCTCCCAGCTGACGACCATCCAGTCTCTGATTAAAAAGCTCCATAGAAGGAGACTCCGCTGCATTCCATGATGCAACGGCTCTGACCCTGCTTAGTCCTTGGAGGGACCATCAAGAGAGACCAATAGTGAACGTGAGATTTCAACAGAAGGAACTGGTAGAACCACCCCCGAGTCTTCCCTCTGAAATCCATGGGGCTGGCATAAGTCAAAGGGCTGTGACCCACACATGTATTTTCTGGAGCTTAGGCTTGCTGTTCTGCACCCTCCAGACATTCCAAGTCTTGGTGACCCAAAGGTGGGGCTATCCTGGGGTTTTCCTGGCTAGGGTGGAGCAGCAGTTTGTCCTGCTGCTTCCCTCTGAGGTTAAGACAATAAGATTCAATTTGGCCCTGCATTTTCATGGCCAAATAGGGGTTCGAATCCCTGCTCAGCCCTGGAGACTGACGGTCACCTCGTGTATGCCACATCCTCTCAGCCTCAGAAGAAGGAACACAGCCATCAATTTCTGAAAACAGGGCTGATGGTTTGTTCTGACTCCCAAGTTAACAGAATGCTTCCTAGGCTCACTTTACCTCAATTCCAGTCCCATCCCTCCCATTCTTCATGTCATTTAATTAAGTTCCTTTCTCCCAGACACCCTCATCCAAACAGAAAATGGGATTAGCATGAAGTGGAATGGAATCTCTTTGTACAATCCCCATGGGAATGCCGCAGAGGGGGAAAGGACTGCTTGTTTTGCACCCAGACTGAGCAGCAATATTTTGTGGGGATGGGGAGGGGCAGAGTCTGGTCCTTGCTGGGGCTTGGGATGCTTTGCAAAGAGGATCCGGAGACCAGGAACTGAGGATAAGCCCACATCCGCATCTGGGACACAGAAGAATGATGGAGACGCCGAGGGGGTCGGCCAAACACAAAGGAGGAGGCTGGGATAGCAACTCGGAGCCACATCCTAGTTACACACAAAACTTCCCTGGCCCTCTGTCCTGCTGCCTCTAATGACTTCCCTCCCAGGAGCCAGCTTTCCAAACCAGAAATAGGAGGATGAAAAACAGCAGGGAAGGAGCATGTTGGCAAGGCAGTGCCATCCCTCCAGTTTGGAGTGTGAACCATTGAAGACCTCTCCAAGGTGCTGAACCTCTTTTGGCATTGCAGAGTGACCCTGTTCCTGACATCTCCATGCTAAGAGTTGCTGAATGCTTTCCCCATTTCCTTGTCTGTCCAGCTCTGGGTCTGTCTGCAAACCAGGCCTCCCAAGGCGCGGGTTGCTGCTGGACATTGACCCACCCCTCCCTGATTTAAGATAACCCTCACTGATGGGAAATGGGGGCAGCAGGCAGGCCAAGGAAAGGCAAACACCCTAGCACAATAAAGGACTCGTAATAGGACCAACTTCATTAGAAGTACAAAAAGGAGCCGCGGGGGTGCAGTGGGTTAAATCCTTGTGCCAGCAGGACTGAAGACTGACAGGTTGCAGGTTCAAATCAGGGGAGAGTGTGGATGAGCTCCCTCTATCAGTTCCAGCTCCCCATGCTGGGACATGAGAGAAGCCTCCCACAAGGATGGTAACACATCAAAACATCTGGGCAATGTCACTCTATGCAATGTCCTTGCAGATGGCCAATTCTCTCACACCAGAAGCAACTTGCAGTTTCTCAAGTCGCTCCTGACACATACACAAAAGAAGCAATACAAAAGTTACCTCTCTTCAGATCCAATAGCATATTGCTTCGCCAACTAAAATCTTAAATCCATACAGTTATACCCCATCGGGTGTGGCCCAAACATGCTGACTGACCTACATTACCAGCTGTACATAATTAACATCATAAGGTTTTTCTTTAACACACACTTGGTCCTGCTACGACTTAGTGCAACAACTTTGACCAGGGACCATTCTCCAACCTTAGTACCAAAAGGTTATGAATCTGTTTTTGGTCAACTTTAGATTTGGTTTGTTTATTTGGGGTGCTGTTCCAGAAAATGGCATTGGATAGACCACATCAGCTCTAGTTTCTGACACAGAACACAGGCCATCCAGTAGTCGCCATCTGCTCACCAACAGAAAACCATGTTTAATAAGCCTTGGGTTTTGTGAGACCTGTCACTCTCATTGCAACAGTGGAGTAACAGTGAGGCCAGGGACTATATTTTAGTTCTTGTGAATGACTGATGATCCACGGACCATAGGTTGGGAATCACTGAGCTAGACAGAGAATGAGAGTGAAAAGGGTGAATTGGGAAGCTGTAATAAGTCTTTATATAAAATAATGCTTCTTTGGTAAGTGAGGGATGTTGGGGATAAGCAGATTCAGGAGCATAGAAAAGAAGAAAAGCCACTTGCACTGTGTCCCTCTGCATCCTGGACTTCAAGCCATTGTCCAGAGCAACGACACAAACTGACCCCTTGATAATCCACTCCTGGGGTGTGTCTTTCCATCCAAACCGACGATGCCAGACATACAAGAGAAGCAGTGCACCAATCCCAGGGCCTCCAGATGATCCCAAAGCAGCTCAGCCCCTTGATATAAAAGCACCCTCCTCCAAGATCCGGTTGCTGCTCTCCTCACCTCCAGAGAGAGAGACCTGGGCTGATTTCCCCTGCGCTTGGCTCAAGCAGGTAAGGAGAAGGTGGCAGGAAGAGGTGCAGGTATGCGCACCTGTATATACGCGCTATGCTCAGGTCCCACTGAATTGAGAGCTGACACCTCCAATGGTGGTTAGTGGAATGTTTCTATGTCTATTTCCAGAAGACTTTGTAGATGATGATGATGATGACGATGTGTATTTGTATTCAGCCTTGTCCCCAGTTTGGGACACAAGGTGGCTTTCAACAGTTGCGATAAATGTAGCACAGAATTAAAGCAAAATGTACTATCTGTTGGGAATCAGCCTGTGTTTGTGTTTCATGATGCTCAGGATCATGATGCTCTTGATGTGGGACATGATGAGGGAAATGATGGTGCTGAGGCTGAGGTGCAAGATGGAGATGGTTTGGTCAATGATTTTCATGCAGACAATGACAGAGAGGCCCCAGTGCAAAGGGCAGTTTCTCATGAGATTATTCCAGCTGGGCTTAAGGATGATGGTTTACTCCCTCTTTCTGTGAGCTCTCAAAGATTTTAGTTTGGAAAACAATCTGACACCTGGAAATTTTAATAAGCAGCCCAAAAGAGAGTTGAAAAATAGGCGGGTAGAGTTCAGCCAGGATCGACAACAAACTCAATGTTTACGTCGCTCCGAAAGGCTTCGTCAGATAAGAGGCAAGAGTGGGGGGAAAACGAAAACAATTTTTGGGCTTTGGGATATAAGGTTTGCTTCAAGGGAAAGCCTGTTAGATCAGGCATCATTTGGAAATCATGTTCATGTGCCTTGGAAATCCTGTTCAAGGGGTCTTGTTCTTATAGAGATTTTTAGCATTTTGCTGTGGTCTAGCACCTTCTGGATTATCTTTGCAACCTGTTGATTCCTGTCTGGATAAATACTGCCTTGGATTGTTTTTATATCTTTTGTGGACATTGCTTTGAATTACTGCATTTTACTGATCTTTTACATTTTGAAATTTTCCTATTTTTACAAGCATTTCTTTCTACTGGCTATTTTACTCAGCTTCAATAATTACATTACATTTTTATTTATATAAACTAGCTGTCCCCTGCCAGGCGTTGCTGTGACCCAGTCTGTTGATCTGGAAAATAAAATAACGAGAAAGTGTTGGTTTCTAATATATGTCTTGTCTTTCTGCTTGTGGGTAAACAGTATTTCCTGTTGTTTCTTTGTCAGGAACATGCAACATATCATTGTCCTTCTTTAAGAGTCCCTTTCAAATCTATGATATATATCTCTGTGTGTGAATCATATCTATCTCTATCTATCTATCTATGGCTGGATGGCTCTTTGTTAGGAGGGCTTTGATTACGTTTTCTTGCTCGTGAAGGGAGTTGGATTAGAAGGCCTTAAGTATTTTCTGTTGCTCATGGGGGTTCTGTGTGGGAAGTTTGCCCCGATTCTGTCATTTGTGGCATTCAGAATGCTCTTTGATTGTAGGTGAACTGTGAATCCCAGTGACTACAACTCCCAAATGTCAAGGTCTATTTTCCCCCAAACTCCATCTGTGTTCATATTTGGGCATATTGAGTGTTTGTGCCAAGTTTGGTCCAGATCCATCATTGTTTGAGTCCACAGTGCTCTCTGGATGTAGGTGAACTACAACTCCCAACTCAAGGTCAATGCCCACCAACCCTTCCAGTATTTCTGTTGGTCATGGGAGTTCTGTGTGCCAAGTTTGGTTCAATTCCATCATTGATGAAGTTCAGAATGCTCTTTGATTGTAGGTGAACTATAAATCCCAGCAACTACAACTCCCAAATTACAAAATCAATTTAATTTGAGTGAAGGACATACATTCGGTTGTTTGATGTCTTGTGTCCAAATTTGGTGTCAATTCGCCCACTGGTTTTTGAGTTCTGATAATCCCACAAACGAACATGACATTTTTATTTATATAGATTATTAGTAATGTTACATGTAATATAAAATATATAATTATAATATTATATTATTATTATCAGTGTTATATTGTGTTACATTACAATAGTATAAATATTATATGTATCTACAATATTATATTATTAGGAAAGCACAGGAGACAAGATGGAACTGTTTTCAACTGTAGCCCCGTTTACTAGGCATGTGCAATTCATGGTTCTAAATGGTTCTAAAGTACTTACAAAACTAAAGTTCTGGTGGTGAACACTAGGGGGCGCTGGTGCTTTGCTTCTACAGTGTTGCTAAAGTTCTGGTGGTGAAAATTTCAGAACTCTAACACAACTTTCAAAATTTCATTATTATTTCATTAGAACAAGCCCTATGAGGAGCGGCTTAGGGAACTGGGCATGTTTAGCCTGAAGAAGAGAAGGCTGAGAGGAGATATGATAGCCATGTATAAATATGTGAGAGGAAGCCACAGGGAGGAGGGAGCAAGCTTCCTTTCTGCTTCCTTGGAGACTAGGACGCAACGGAACAATGGCTTCAAACTACAAGAGAGGAGATTCCACCTGAACATGAGGAAGAACTTTCTGACTGTGAGAGCCGTTCAGCAGTGGAACTCTCTGCCCCGGAGTGTGGTGGAGGCTCCTTCTTTGGAAGCTTTTAAGCAGAGGCTGGATGGCCATCTGTCAGGGGTGATTTGAATGCAATATTCCTGCTTCTTGGCAGAAGGGGGTTGGACTGGATGGCCCATGAGGTCTCTTCCAACTCTTTGATTCTATGATTCTATGATTCTATTATTGATTATTTTTGTGACAGAACCAATTAGGAACCTTTTTTTTTGTCGTGTCAGGAGCGACTTGAGAAACTGCAAGTCACTTCTGGTGTGAGAGAATTGGCTGTCTGCAAGGACGTTGCCCAGGGGACGCCCGGATGATTTGATGTTTTTATCATCCTTGTGGGAGGCTTCTCTCATGTCCCCGCATGAGGAGCTGGAGCTGATAGAGGGAGCTCATCTGCCTCTCCCCGGATTTGAACCTGCGACCTGTCGGTCTTCAGTCCTGCCAGCACAGGGGTTTAACCCACTGCACCACTGGGGGTTCTAATTAGGAAATGCCATTTATAATGAAATTTTGAAAGTTTTGTTAGAGTTCTGAAATTTTCACCACCAGAACTTTAGCAACACTGTAGAAGCAAAGCACCAGCGCCCCCTAGTTTTCACCACCAGAACTTTAGTTTTGTAAGTACTTTAGAACCATTTAGAACCATGGATTGCACATGCCTGCCATCTACCTCTCTGTGCCCAAAGGCCTGCTGAAAGAAGGGGGCTGAATGGATGGGGCTATCCTGGCCTTCCAAGGAAGGGGTTACAGAACATTGGAGCGGCTGCCAAAAAGGCCCTTCTGACCACCCTGCTTTCTCCCAGGGATAGGCCTTCCGGTCAAACTCTGCTGGTGGCACGGCTCTCAGAAGAGATGGAGAACGCCGAGAGTCCAGGGGTACGTTTCTCTGGACAGCGGCTGGCCCTCTTGGCATGGCTTTTCCTCTGGCAAGCATTGGCGACTGACCATGGGTAAGGAATGGGCGCATCTCCCTCCCCTGGAGTTGGTTGTGCATATTTAGCAACTCAGAAGCATCCGCATGGAGCGCAAGTCACTAAGGGGTGCCTGCGTTTCCCAGCTAGTGCTAAATTGCAAAGTGGGGGGTGCATCTGGACTGTAGAATGAATGCAGTTTGAACCAATCCTGAAGGAAATTATCACACAATATCAGGCATGGGCAAACTTTGGCCCTCCAGGTGTTTTGGACTTCAACTCCCACAATTCCTAACAGCCTCCCTGAGTAACCCTCCTACCTTGGAATGGAGTTCCTATAACACTCTGTAATATGGTTTTTGTTTCTGGGTTATCAAGATCATTCCCTAATTGCTCCACACCATGTGATCAGAGGTGACCCCCCCTCCCCCAAGACTCTGTAAAAGATAGTTCAAAATCAGGGAATTCATAGTTTTGCCAAGGACACCAGGCTGAATTGACCCCATAACCCCCTATCTCTCCGTCCCTCCAGGTGTTTTGGACTTCAACTCCCACAATTCCTAACAACCAGTAGGAAAACACCTAGAGGGTCGAAATTTGTCCATGCCTGTTGTATAGAATATCTCACCAGGAGAGAGGAGCTGTCATGTGGATCTGGGGCAGAAAGGCAATGTTGGAGTTCAGCCTGGGATTGTGTTTCAAGATGATCAAGGTGCTTTGATGTGGGGAATGATGATGTCACTGAGGACCAAGATGGAGATGGCTTGGTCAATGATATTAATGCAGAGAATGACATAGGGACACCAGTTCAAAGTGTAGTTTCCCATGAGAATGTTCCTACAGCGTACAGGGATGATAATTTACTCCCTAACCCAGAGAGTTCCCAAGATTTGGGGTTTGAAAACAACTTGACATCTGGAGACAATAATGAGCAGAGCACTTACTTCTGGCTGTTTCAATAGTCCAAAATAAAAAACATAAATAGCACTCAGCCGCAGAATAAACAAAAACTGATAGCAAAAGCTACACCGTAGTCAAAGGTCAGTCCAGTGGTCAAATGCTGAGAATTTCAATAAACAAAGTCCAGGGATCAAAAGTCTATACCATAGTCCAAAGCCAGCCCAGAGATTCAAAGTTCCACAGTTCCAAGATTACAGGAGACAGGTCAGGATACCGAAAATCCAACAGACCTGGGGGAAAACCAGCAGCATCCACCACCAAAATATGACAATACTTTTCTCCCAAAGATCATTTCCAAGGCTCGCTCCTTATATCCACAAACACCCAGCTGCAACCTATCTCTTGCATACCTCCACCCTTAATTGCTTTCACCCATGAACTCTTACTTACAGATTACTAAACCCTTTAGAACTAATACTTACATTAACCCTTCCATCACCAAGCACCATCAACTGCAGAACATATGACACCTCCCTGACCAAGAAAGTTCCCAGGATTTGGGGGTTTGAAAACAACTTGGCACCTGGAGAAACTATTGAGCAGATAGATAGTGAGCAAATAAACAGATGGCTGGAAATTAGCCAAAACAGACAGCTCAGCCAAGGCTTCGAGAGATAAGGGGAGAAGCAGTCAAAGTAAAGGAAACCAGTTTCTAAGTGTTGGGAATAGCCTAATGGAGGGATATAAAGTTTCCACCAGGGAAAATATAGCCAGATGAAGCACCATTTCAGAATCCTGAAAAGTCCTTGTTCTTGTCCTATGGAAGCCTTGCTTGGAAGATTCACGTTAAGGATTTCTTGTTCATGGTTTTACTCTTTGTCTCTTGTGCTTATATACTCATGCTGTGGATTAATGTTTTCCTGGTACTTTGGATTGTTATTACAAAAGTCTGGATCTTACTTTTGAACTTTGCTGAACCCAACTTGGAATATATTGTTCCTGCTTATCTTCCTACCTTTTTGGACTCATCTATTTTCTTAAAGCATATTTTTACCTGGCTGTTTTCACTTATCTTCAATTTAAAAAAAGGATCGTCGAAGGCTTTCATGGCTGGAATCACTGAGTTGTTGTAGGTTTTTTTCGGGCTATATGGCCATGGTCTAGAGGCATTCTCTCCTGACGTTCCTGCATCTATGGCAAGCATCCTCACTACCTCTGAGGATGCTTGCCATAGATGCAGGCGAAACGTCAGGAGAGAATGCCTCTAGACCATGGCCATATAGCCCGAAAAAAACCTACAACAACCCACCAAAAAAGGATTGTTTTCCTATTCAACGTGTGGTGTTTTAAAGTCAGAGGGTTATTCCTATCCTGGAGTGCAACAGGCAGGGGACTGTGGGACCCTTTGCCCAACTCCTTGGGCTATTCAGAAGCAGGGCTAAGGAAGACTGTGTGGGCAAATGGCCTGAGGCCCAGACATCTGCGAAGTGAAAAAACCACACGTGGTGCACAAAAACAACAGTTTGTGCCGTGCAAAGCCCCGGGGTCCACTCTTCCCCCTGACCAGTGCCATAAGCACTTGCAGAAATGAGGCCGACAGGTATCTCTGGGGTGCATGGGGCCCCTCTCGTTGGCCCTACTCAGACCTCCCTCTCGTCTCCTGGGTGCAGGCATTGGTGCGAGAGGCTGGTGCAAGTGACGGAGGAGGAAGTGGTGGTCCCGCGGCAGGAGGAAGCCGTGCCCTGCGCAGAGGTCTACCGCTACAACATGGCTGGCTGGCTTCTCGACCAGGAGAGGATGCGCCGGGTTGGCGGCGGAGCAAAGGGCCTGTGCTATGTCTACAAGTGAGTAAGAGAGCGGCGAAATAGGTGGGAGAGGAGACCAGAGAAGGATGGAGCCAAGGGTTTGGATACCAGAAAAAGAGGGGCAGAGCTTGGTGGGGAAAGTTCCTTGTTAACAGTAATACCGTGAGTTGCATCTTTCTGGGTCTTTGGCTGTATGAGTCCATTCCAACAGGTCACAGTTTTCCATGTATTTGGCTTATTTGAATGCAGCCACCCATACGCACAAAGAACAACCTCATGCCTATCACATCTATCTGGACAACTAAAATAGTTGTGCGGTTTCTTCTCTTAGCAAGAGGGGTCCCAATTGTCTTGCTCCCCGCTCCTGTTTGCATCTCTCCCACGGCAGGCCAGAGGACACGAGGCCCACGGTGTGGAACCGGACGGTGCGCACTTGCTGTGAGGGCTGGAGTGGGCCCCATTGCTCTGAGGGTAAGGCTATTTGGGCCAGGTTGCCACGGGGGTTGAGTGAGGGAAGGGTGGTATGACAGACTTGGAGAATAATGAAAGTCAACGGGTTGTTGATTCAGACAGACACTGGTGTTGGATACCTCTTGGCTAGTCCAAAGTAGGACTTCTTGGCATCACGAGCACATAGATTACTGCAACGCACTCTACGTGGGGCTGCCTTTGAAGACGGTTCGGAAACTTCAGTTAGTTCAACGGGTGGCGGCCAGATTACTAACTGGGATGTCAGACAGGGAGCTCCACTGGCTGCCGGTCCATCTCCGAACCCAATCCAAAGTGCTGGTTTTGACCTATAAAGCTCTATACAGTTCTGGCCCAGCTTACTGGTCTGAACGCATCCACCCCTACGTCCCACCTTGCAATTTAAGATCATCCGGGGAGACCCTGCTCTCACTCCCATCAACAGCGCAAATGTGGTTGGTGGGAACGAGGAGCAGGGCCTTCTCGGTTGTGGCCCCCCGCCTATGGAACACACTCCCAAAGGAGGTAAGATCTGCTCCCTCGCTCCTGACCTTTAGAAAAAAATTAAAATCATGGTTCTGGGACCAGGCCTTCGGACAATAGATGTATGCAGCTTTTAGTGGGACAAGGACTGGAATGGCGACTCGACTGATGAGATTGTTTTATGGTTTTAATAACTGTTTTGATATTTGATGATGTACTGTTTTTAATATGATTTATGTTTAAAGTGTGGTTTTACTATTGTAGTTGTAAGACATTGAATTTTTGCCATTAACTATGTGTGAACCACTTTGAGTCCCCCTCGGGGTGAGAAAAGCGGTATATAACTACTGTAAATAAATAATAAATAAATAAATAAATAAATAGTCCGGGTTGTGGCGCAGATGGTTGGGAGTCAGCTGCATTAAAATCACTACTGACTGAGAGGTCATGAGTTGGAAGCCAGCCCAGGTCAGAGTGAGCTTGTCTAGTTTGCTGTCGACCTTTGCAGCCCGAAAGACAGTTGCATCTGTCAAGTAGGAAATTTAGGTACCGTTTATGCGGGGAGGCTAATCTAACTAATTTACGATGCCATAAAACTCCCCAGCAGCATGCAAAAGAATGAGGAAGTACTCCATCGGTGTCACAAGTGGATGGTGAAGCAACAGTTCCCCCAGTGGCCAGAATTCAAAAAAGCATACCCTCATGAAGCTGGAATGTTAAATAGCCTCTGCGTGTCTGTCTATATATGTTGTGTGTCTATGGCATTGAATGTTTGCAATGTATATGTGCATTGTGATCTACTCCTGAGTCCCCTGTGGGGCAAGAAGGGTGGAATAGAAATGCTGTAAATAAATAAATAGCCAAGCCATGGTAAATATGGGGAGGGAAGGACCCTAGGAGAGATATAAGGATGATTGCCTTCTAGTGACCCCCGTTGGAGTCATGCAACAGATCCACTTGGAGGTTTAGTCCAAATGTTAAAGGAGGTGCTCAAGATGTTGGCACGGTTTGGAGGGCGTGGGACCTTGGGTAGCTCCTTTCAGGTCTGGACTGCAACCCAGAGTGGCTCTCCCTTCCTGACACCAGACCGCCCCCCCTTGATCATGAGCAATGAGGATAAGAGTGCTTCTCTCTTATACTTTATTTATTATTTACTCTATTTGTATCCCGCCTTTCTCTCTTCGTGGGGTTGCCTCTGATACTGCTCAGAAGCTGCAACCAGATAACTAACAGGAGCGGGGTACAGGGAGCATACTACTCCTCTGTTGCGCCAGCTCCACTGGCTGCCAATTAGCTTCCGAGCACAATTCAAAGTGCTGGTGTTGACCTATAAATCCCTAAACGACTCCGGCCCAGTTTACCTGTCCGAACGGATTCTCCCCTATGAACCATCAAGGTTGCTAAGATCTTCTGGAGGGGACCTGCTCTCGGTCCCTCCACTTTCGCAGTCGTGTCTGGTGGGAACGAGAGACAGGGCCTTTTCTGTGGTGGTCCCTCGGCTATGGAACTCTCGTCAATACCTTAGTCAGTGATGGTCTCAGCCATCACTCTTCAAATTCCTTGTTCCACAACCAAGACTTCACTTGCTTCCTAAAGATCAGGAGGGAGGGGGCAGATCTAATTTCATTTGGGAGAGAGTTCCATATCTGGGGAGCCACCACAGAAAAGGCCCTGTTTTAATATTTTAGATCAGTGGTTCTCAACCTGGGTCCCCAGATGTTTTTGGCCTTCAACTCCCAGAAATCCTAACAGTTGGTAAACTGGCTGAGATTTCTGGGAGTTGTAGGCCAAAACACCTGGGGAGCCATAGGTTGAGAACCACTGTTTTAGATTGTACTGTTAGCATTGGGTCCTTGCTGTGATCTGGTCTGAGCCCCTCTACGGAGGTAGAGAAGAGCGGGATATAAAAGTTTTAAATAAATGAATAATAAATTCTCTACCCTGAAGGAGATTCAAAGCGGCTTTACATATAGGCAACTATCCAATGCCTTTGGACAACATACAATTAAAATACATTTAAGCTAACATTTTGAAATTAAAATGAATGCACATTAAAACATACAAAACATTGCATTCACTCTTAAACTCACCGTCACACATAGTTGTAATCCGGGGCCATTCCAAAAATCATTGCACATATTTTGTAGTTATTGTCGCACTATAGTTAATCTCCAAAAGCTTGATCCCATAGCTAGGTTTTCACTTTTGTTCTGGGAGGGAGCTGCACTAATATCATTGGGAAGGGAGCTCTGCAGCCAAGGAGCCACCACTGAGAAGGCCCTGTCTCTCATTCATAGAATCATAGAATCAAAGACTTGGAAGAGACCTCATGGGCCATCCAGTCCAACCCCATTCTGCCAAAAAGCAGGAATATTGCATTCAAATCACCCCTGACAGATGGCCAACAAGCCTCTATTTAAAAGCTTCCAAAGAAGGAGCCTCCACCACACTCCAGGGCAGAGAGTTCCACTGCTGAACGGCTCTCACAGTCAGGAAGTTCTTCCTCATGTTCAGATGGAATCTCCTTTCTTGTAGTTTGAAGCCATTGTTCCATTGCGTCCTAGTCTCCATGGAAGCAAAAAGGAAGCTTGCTCCCTCCTCCTCCCTGTGGCTTCCTCTCACATATTTATACATGGCTATCATATCTCCTCTCAGCCTTCTCTTCTTCAGGCTAAACATGCCCAGCTCCTTAAGCCGCTCCTCATAGGGCTTGTTCTCCAGACCCTTGATCATTTTAGTCGCCCCCCTCTGAACACATTCCAGCTTGTCAATATCTCTCTTGAATTGTGGTGCCAAGAATCGGACACAATATTCCAGGTGTGGTCTAACCAAATGCACCACCTGCGAAGGAGGCGGGACCAAGAGTAGGGCTTAACCAGACAGTCTTAACCTCCCAAATCAAAACATGTTGTCACCACCGCTGTCACAATGGTTGGGTTGACCGCACGTTTGCCGTTTCCTCTCTGCCTCTTCTTCTCCTTCTGCCGCTTCCAGGGAAGGACACAGTGGGCCGCTGCTTCTCCACTTGGCAGTGCCAGGACATGCCGGGGCTGCAGAACGCCTCACTGCTCAGCTTGGAGGAGTGTTGCCAACACCTCTGGGGCCACAGCTGGCAGAACGCCTCCTCCCACCTCTGCTTTGGCTGCTCCTCCCTCCCCCTGGAAGGTGGGTGCGTGCCCAGGTGGCCCTTCTGCTCCTCTCTTTCCTTTCTTGGACCCATCCATGCTGCACACCTGGTGCGCTAAGAGGTGGGAAAGGGCCACAGCTTGTTGTGAAGTTACTTGTGAAAAATAATATGTTTCCATTGCCCGAGTAGTGCAATGGGTTAAACACTTGTGCCAGCAGGATTGAAGACTGACAGGTCGGAGGTTCGAATCCAGGGAGAGGGGGTTGAGCTCCCTCTGTCAGCTCCAGCTCCTCATGCCAGTAGGAATACAATGTCAATACACAAATGTCCTATTGCTATAAACTTCAGCAACAATACCAATTGGAATAATGCGGAGAATACCAAACTAACTCATATAGTACACAAGCATGGGAAACAAACACATAGGGACTGTTTACAATGGTCTAACAAACATAATATTCATGTTTTCCAAAATAATTAGTCAGATTTTCCAAAGGTCCTGTGAGGAAACTTCAACAATTCAGTATTGTCCCATGTGAATTCAAGCTATAATAAAAAAAAGTCTTGGGGACTGAAGACCGACAGGTTGGAGGATCAAATCCAGGGAAAGTATGTTGTCCCTCTGTCAGCTCCAGCTCCCCATGCAGGGACATAAGAGAAGCCTCCCACTGTTGCAACTCAGAGTAGGCTTCACCTTGCTCCCAAACACCACCACACAAGAGCTGTAGATTTTGTAGTTTATTGAGGAAAAATCCAAGTCAAAACATAGAGTAAGCAATGCAAAGTTCCAAAGACAAAGGTTAAATGCAAAACACAGTTCCAAAGGTCCTCAGGTAAGAACATAAAACATAATCCTTTAAGCAATGGTCAAACAAGAGTCCATGGTAAAAGCAGTGAAACACAAGTCCCAAGAATCACGATTCAGGAAGCCCAAAGCGTGCTGCTTTAGAGCCAAGGTTATTCCATAGAAGCTTTCATGCTAAAAGCCACGTTGAACTGACACCTTCCCTTTGTTAACCAGAAGCCTAAATACCTTTTGCCAACATGAAAACATTACGCTTTTGCCAACATGAAAGCATTACGGTGACCTTTCACCAACCTGGCTTCTTTCTTGCTGGCTAACCGCGAACTCCTCCTGACCCGCCAATCTAAACGTTCCTGCCTGCTCATTAAATCACTATCAAGGCTGCTCTCTTCTCTATCAGTATCAGTGTGAGAAGGCTGAGCAAGTGAAGGCCTCTGCACCTGGTCGTTATCTAATTCGCTGGCATTCTTTTCCCATGAGAACTGACTTGTTGACTCCTCTGGTGCACTGTCTGCAAGAGGCACAGAAAAAGGCATAGGAACAGGCCCAGAAATCTGAATCCCATCATCCTCTTCATCAGGGAACATTTCAGGCTCACAAGAGGGTTCAGTTTCAGGCTCAGAATCAAGCTGAGCCACAACACCCACAAGGATGGTAAACATACAAACATATGGGCAATGTCCCCTAGGCAGCCTTCTTGCAGATGACCAATTTTCTCACACCAGAAGGAACTTGCAATTTGTCAAGTTGCTCCTGACATGAAAAAAAATATCAGCAGCATTCTCTTCCCCATATTTCCCCTCTTCTTCTTCCTCCCCTGGTCCATTGCCAGGGAATTGGGAGTGGTAGTCCAACAGTTCCTGAGGGCACGTGTGTAGATGGAAGTCAAACAATTGTATTGATTAGCCAGTTGGCCTTATCAAAACAAACAGTGGAAACACAACATACAACATACATCTAATCCTCTTAAAATACAAATATACAGGTATTTGGCGTGGATAGATGGGAAGCTCCAATCCACATACCCCTAACAGACCAATGAGTGACCATCACTCATAAAATCCTCCCCAAAACAGTGGAAAGGACTTAACCCCACCCCCAAAAAGCTAAATGATGAAAAACTAAATGACAATACAGAAAAAAGGGAAAAGGGGAAGGGAAGGAAAGACAAGCAGAAAGATGGAAGCAAAAAGCAAAGGAAGGAGGGAAAGAGGCAGAGAAGGAAGGAGAGAAAGGGAAGGAAAAGAAAAAGGGGAAGAAAGGAAAGAGGTAGAGAAGGAAGGAAAGAGAAGGAAAGAAAATAAGGGAAGGAAGGAAAGAGGGAGCGAAGGAAGGAGGGAAAGAAGGAAAGAGAGGGAGAGAAGGAAAGAGAGAAAGAAGGAAGGAAAGACAGAAGGAAAGGTAGAGAAGGAAGAAAGGAGAGGAAAAAGGGAAAGAAAAAGGGAGGGGAAGAAAGGAAAGAGGTAGAGAAGGAAGGAAGGAGAGAAGGAAAGAAAATAAGGGAAGGAAGGAAAGAGGGAGCGAAGGAAGGAGGGAAAGAAGGAAAGAAAGAGGAGAGAAGGAAAGAGAAAGAAGGAAGAAAAGAGGTAGAGAAGGAAGAAAGGAGAGGAAAAAGGGAAAGAAAAAGGGAGGGGAAGGAAGGAAAGAGGTAGAGAAGGAAGGAAGGAAGGAGAGAAAAAGAGGGAAGGAAGGAAGGAGGGAAGGAAGGAGAGAAAGAAAGAAGAGAAAGAGGAAGGGAACGTTAGCCACAGCTAGTAAAATAATAATAATAATAAAACTTTATTTCTACCCTGCCACCATCTCCCCAAGGGGACTCGGGGCGGCTTACATGAGACCAGACCCAACAATACTGCAATGCAAATAAACAAATACAACAATAAAATATAGAAATAAAAATAAAATACAAAAAAAACATTATAAATAAGCACATCAGCAATGTAAAATCACAATAATTTGGACACAGAAAATAAATCACAGTAGCAAGGATTAAAAGTTTACAACACTGGGTGAGAAGGCAATGTAATGTATCTAGACAGGGGGTCAGAGGGACAAAAGTAGGGTTTAATTGCACTAGTAGGTAGGAAAAAAAGTGCTAAGCATCGGCCGGCAGCACCTGTCCTGATGTTTCAGTTCTCCCTTTTGTGGAGCTTAACGCTCACCAGCCAAGGCTCACGGGGCCAAGGGCAGTGGGCCAACTCCTCCCCTTCTTCTCCCCAGACGACCTGCCTTCCGCCTCTTTGGTCCGGCCACTGGGCCCCACAGCTCTCCTGCTGCGCTCAGGGCATCCCGGGCGCCCCTTTGCCACCTGCGTGACTTGGGCCGGCTTCCACTACCGCACCTTTGACGGCAAGCATTTCCGCTTCCACGGCACCTGCACCTACGCCTTGGCTGCTGCCTCCGACGGCACCTGGGCCATCTATGTCTCCTCCAGGACCAGCAGCAAAGGGGGCTGCGCGCCAGGCCAATGCTCCAGGGTAAGATTGGGATGGGCCACCCCAGACCAGGTGGGTCCTGCATTGAACCGTAGGCCAGAAATACAACTCAGAGGCATACACTCCAGTGCCAACCAGAGGCTTCCACCTCAGCAGGAGAAGAGCCTGAACTTTGAGGGAGCTCCCCAAGGGGATTCCCACCATCTAAATGGAGCCAAAACCTTGGAAGGATATTTAGAAATTCAAAGTAAAATCTGGAGTAGATTGGCATATCCCTGACATGGGAGCCCTTCAGTAGGTTCTGCAGCGAGGGTCAGAAAAGAGGAGGCAAAAGGACCCTGATGTTGACCCTGACTCAGTCAGTGTTGGGATCGAGGAGCTGTGCTCAGACGCACCTACTGCCCCTTTCTCCCCAGCAGACTCTCCGGATGCTCTTTGGCCTGGATCTGGTTGTGTCTGAGGGACGGAACATCTCCATAAATGGGGCTGCGGTGCCAGAAGGAGAAGCGCGCTTGCAGAAAGGTGAGAGGGCCAAGGCAGGTGCTTGGATGGGGACTTGGATGGTGTTCTGGTA